AAGAGAGAATAAATAATTTGTAAGAGAAACATATAGGGATGAGGAAAGAATGATGATTAATTGTTTTGTTTATATATCTTTTATATAACTTTTTTCTCTTATCTTTGTTTTGTTTGTTTTGTTTTGTTTGCATGAATATCTGTTCAAGAAATTATTCATGTCAATTATTGTGAATTCATTTTTTAAATGATCGGAAAAATAAAACTTACCTAACATAACCTAACCTACCTAACCTATTTGAGAAACGAGACTCTAGGGTGCTAATCCTAACCCTGACTAAGTTGTTTCACCATAAATGCATCTTTCTGAGCGCTGGTTCCCTTTTTATTTTTTAGCCCCTGGCCCCTCAAACAGCTTGAGTCCGCCACTGGGCCCAATTATGTATTTGCTGAATAGAGTTGTTAATTTCTGGTTTATTTAAAGTGGTTGCATCCATATTAATACTGGAGATTCAATATGTCACTTAACAATTTTTGGCATGGAATTTACAAATAGTTATTTTATGACTGCAATGCATGAATTATTGGGAATATGCATTAATTAACACAATCTAATGCATATTTAAATGCAACAGCACATTAATCGATGCATGAATAACAGACACTGAGGACAAACAAGTACAAGAGAAAGGGAGAGGGATTTATGTGAGGATAAAATGCCACCAGGATGAGTGGAGCTCCTGATGGGACAGTTACAAATGATGCTCTCCATTGTTTGAACTATACCATTGACATTTTGGAGAGTAGCCTACTGTGGGGACATGAGTGGCCAGAGCTTCATTGTGTAGTGGTATGGAGAGTAGACTGCTGGGTCTATTTCTGAAAATGTTTTTTAGAGGTCAACAAAAACAAACCATGTCAATAGTGTATGAATAGGGAAATTTTACTCACATAAAAACCTGCATAACCAGTGCTGCCACTCTCCAGAGAAACTGGGTAAAGTTTGATATTGATGTGTATGGTCCAGTTTTAATACATTGCAGATCAAAGGTAGTGCTGTTGCTGTATGTGTAGCCCTTTATGTATGACCAAAGTGTAACTCCAGTGCACTAAGGGTTGAGCTCTAATGTTTAAATTATGTGTGCATGTTTATGAATGCATGCAGATAGCGTAACATTCCTTCCCTCCGTCCCTCTGCCTGTAGTCTATCAGCATCATCTCACACAAAACGCTTGACTCTTTATCTCATCAGAGGAGGGTGGGGATATGGCAGGAGACAAACATTAGACAAACACAGAAAAAATATATGCTGTATATGGCAACAAAAGCCCAAAAGGAGAGAGCAGGCCTGCAGAAAAAGCCAACAAACATGCCAAAACAATCCCCAGAGGATTACATAACATTTCCTTGGGAATTTTGGGTCATAGTGACCAGTTCATATCATCTCTATCTCCATTAGTCATCATCAGCAGGCCTCTTACAACAGCCATTATGAAACTGTCTGTCAAAAAGCAACGGCAGCTTCGGCATCCAGTGTACTATTTAAAGGTCAGAAGATGACCCACATTTTTAGCAATGCAACACAAGCATGAAGTGTTGATGTAAAATTAACACATCAAAGCAAAACTCGACTTGTTAAACTGCCCTGCCACTTTGACACACTGGATTTTACAATTTTGTGAAACTTTAAGTAATATTACACACAAAATCTGTCTTTTGAGAATCAAGCACTCACCATTTCGGCCATTTAAAGGACAAAACATCTATAAAAACTTGCAAAATACTGCAGCTAATCCCAGTCTCTGCTTTACTTTTGTATTCTTCATGTGTTCTAAACACTAATGCTTTTCATAGACTATGTTCTAACTGTTTAGTTGTTCAGTAGTGGACATGTTCCAGATGTAAATTAATGCAAATCACTAAAGTCATGCAACTTTTGTCCAACCATGTTCTGTGTAGTTTATAGAAAGTGAAGCATGACAAGTTCACTTTAATGATAGGCTACATACTTAAGGCAGATACAAGGAACTTTCATTTTGTGTTGATTCCGGCAGCCCCTGTGGACAGAAGCGGCAGTGCTTCCACCACAGTTTCAATGGGGAATTTGATCCGGTGGCAGGCATTAAGAATAACTGCATATATTTAGCCGATCTTCTCACTGAAGGTTATGTTTGTTTATGTAGGTCATATAGAGGCATCAGAAATAAATTGAGACTGTTTCATAACCAATTAAAAAATAAATAAAAGTCTGACATGAAGCTTGATGTCTAGTCCCAGGTGTGAACCCGTCGAGTGATAATCATGTTTTCACTTCTGTCTTGCAGCAGCTGTGGCTCTGCAGTGACACTGCAGTTTTAAATGCACTTTTGAGCACTGTTGGGCTATTGTGAGAACATTTAAAGCTTAAACATGAATAAAACAAACAAAAACCTTACAAACAGAGTTAAAGTAATAATCTCGAAGATTTACAACTGCCTTTTAAGTCACTATTGCCGAGGTAACACAATGGTGATTGAGCAAATGACCCACTAATAAAAGCCTTTGCATATGGAACGTTATAAAGCTTGAATTTGGAGTATACACCATAGTTTATTACATATTTGCATTCCATCAGATGTTAATTATTAGCCCTGAAACATCACCAGAATGTATCCAAATGGTATTCTTCTACATGTTGTAATAAGGTGGATTGTTTGCTGTTTTTACAGCCAGCCATGCAAAAGAGCTGTGTGTTATTTGCTGTTTCCTGTACAGCACTCTGTGACAAAGCTTGATAAAAATGCTCTATAAATAAACCTAACATGACGAGCCCTTATCATGCACACTGCCATATTTTATTTTATTACTGATTCTTCAATGAACAGAGAGGAAGTGCAGAAGTGTAACAGATCAGGTTCAAAATGATGGGTCTTTTTTAGTCCTTTAGCAGAAAACTGAATCTTTACCAGCTCCAGGACGACTGTTCTGCAGTTGAGCCTGACCTCTGACAAAATTTCTACAGAACTGTACGCTGCAGTATCCTTTGCATAATTTCCCCACTGTCCAGCTCCAATGGTTTTATATGCTGTGTTCTCTTGCAGTGTACACTGCTAATTTATTTATACTCTATTAACATTACTCTTATTGTGAAAAAAGTTTATGATAAAATATATACAAATACCACTGACACAAAACTAAAACACACTACGACAACTGTTGGATTAGTTGAAAACCAACAACCAGGAATAAAATCCAGCAATTTGTAGATGAATAAAATTAATCCTCTTCAATGCACAGATAAGGTTATGACATATTTGACTACTTTCTCGGGCTGCTTCTTTAATTTAGGAACGGAAAACATTTGATTACATTATCACATCTTAAAGTTGGATGGAGAAGTCACCAAACTCCTTTTACTTAAATAATAACACTATTGGGCAGGTTACTTGAAAACTCATTACATATTACATTCTATAAAAGTCAACGTATTAAACACCACAGCAAAAGTAAATAGTTACAGTACTCATTACTCCACAGCCACATATCACATTTTCCATGTGTAACACGTGTAGGATGCAACTCTCCAGAAGTCCTGTCAGATATCCTGAATTATAGCTTCCCAGTGGGAAACATTAGCAACCCAACAGAGAAAGTGCAACATCCAAGTATGACTTTGAGTTAGCATAATAGCATATCTCTGCTTTTGGTAGAGTCTAGCCACTTCCCCACACCTCCAGCCCCCTGTGCCAAGATAATGCTGCCTTCAAATGGAGCTCGTGGTTGCGACATGGGAAGTCGTGTAACTTGTGAACTCAGAGCTTTCAGAAAATCGCCACTTCAGAGGTTGTGAATACCACAAGAGAGGGGCGTTCATACGGACTTCTCGTGACCCCGGTAACCCCTTTTGGAGGCAGCATAACACGCACTCGACATCGAAGATGGTCCACATAAATTCCTTACGCTGCTGTTTACTGAGGAGTAATATGCTGTGTATAAGAGGTGCGACAAAACTACCAGAAGAGTTAGGGCACGATCTGTATACATACACAGTCCTAAAAAAGAGGCCTAATAAACCTTAACTAAATGAAAACACCTGTGTGAATGTCTGCAGGTTCAGGCTGCAGCAGAGCTTATAGTACAACATCAGGTGACATGAACGTGTAATATACAGTATGTAGCCTGTATTACTGACTCAAGTAATGAGGTTGGGCATTGGGACTGATCATTAACACTGTAAACTGTAGAAGAATATGATGGTTTTTGGTGGAAGTATATATATTTAGTGGTGGCTCAGTAGACGTAGCCGACATGTGTCATATAATTCATGTTACCAGTAATCTTTGTGACAGCACAGCATCTTTCTTTACCATTTTGATTCATCGATTAGTTGTTTGACAAAAAAATAGGATTTTCATAATCAATTATTAACAAATAATTTATCAAGCAAAAATGCTACCTCTGCTCTGGCTCAAATCTTTCAAATCAGTGTAAAAACGGAATCTCTTTTGGGTTTGGATGGTTGGTCTGATAAAACAAGATGCTGCTTTGGGTTCTGAGAACATGTGATGGCCATATTTGTCATTGTATAATCAAATAACCTGTTCAAAAAAGCAATCATCAGTCGCAGCTGTAACTCTTTTAAAATGGTTTTAGGAGCATTTTTCTTTTTAAACACTAAAATAACTTCTGTGTGATAAGTTATCTTAATAATTTTTACAGATGTTTTTCTTTCAATATTTGTGTTAGGTAAGAGTCTTTCCGGGTGCCATCCCTCCTCCGGGATAAGAGCCCATAGTCCCCTTTGCTACGCTCCTGCTCATCCCCTAACATCACTTGTTTGTGACAGTAAAACTTGGCCAGTAACTCAACTGAAGCTTTTCCTCCAAGTTTAAAGGCAAGAATGTGGGAGGACATTCATTTCTGCATGACCGTGCAGACGGCCTGATGATGATGATGATGAGAGGAGTGGCCGTCAAAAAACTTCCCCGAGTGACGAGAACTGGCCACGGCTCCTCCCCCCTTAACAGCTAGGAGGAAAAAGTCCCCCCCCCCCTCCTCAACCCGACTTTTAATTCTCCTGATGTAGCGATAGTTTGTCAAAGCGCGTTAGGAGGGAGAAAAGAAAGTCAAGGGTTGTAGTTTTTTTTGTGTCTTTTTCAAGAAATAAGTTTGGACATGAAAGCACTCAAGTGGTAGAAAAGTCATCTGAATCTTTTCTTCCACCCCGAGTGTGCGGCATCATGAAGCCACTGCTGCGCTCCGGCGTCTCTCTGTGGACTCTGCTGCTCTTCAGCGCTCTGCTCAAGGTAAAAAGGCTTTCATTGCGTTCAACATCTTGCACAGAATGAACCCAAGAGTTGTTTTGGATCATGAGGAAAAAACAACAAATGTTTGGATGATGATCAGTTTGTGTATCACACGGCTGGGACTGCACCTGTTGCGCAGGTATAGCCGATGTGCTGGGACGGTCCGTTTCTCTCTCCTCTGGAGCTGCAGCAGAGTTTGGAGGAAAAGTTTATGAGTAATCAGTAATTTATTACATTCTGGTGTCTGGAAAAGAAGGTTTTTTGGTGGCAGAGAAGAAAAGATGAGTCTTTTGAGAGTTTTAATTCAAATTTATGTCAGCCGACCTTCAGCTGGAAAGTTTTAACAATGGTGGGCTGTTTATTGGAAGATATCGTGAGAATATATTAAGTCTAACGATGTGAGGCATATTTGTGCATTTTTTTCTAATTCTTATGTAATAATTAAAGTAGGCACTGTATTTAACCAGGTAAAAACAAACAAACAAACAAAAAAACTGTGGAGATATTATCTCAGTGGAGACCTGGCCAAACAACATAATTACATAATCCAAAATATTACAAAAGAATAAATACAGATAATAAAGGATGAGAGCTCATTTCAACCACAGGGGTTACATGAACATAAGTTAACTGACAACATTAATTATGCATTATAGCAAGAGCATTTTGTAATAAAAGCTTTTCAAACTTTAATTCTGGTTAGAGAGATGAGGGAGGCAAGACTGAGTCTGCAGGTTATTACTTAGTGAAAAACCCTCTGATGAGATACTTCATATTTGGAATATTTTTTTATAGTTATTTATTCAGGACTGCACAGGTCAGTATCCAGTGACCCGACCTGTACAAAGCTTGCATAACAGAACATCCAGCCGCGGTAGACCCACCTGTCCTTGTCCCACTGGTCTTTCTGGAGAGAAAGAAAGGGTGAGAGAGGTTGAGAATGGCATGTGAGGATGTGTGTGGCCAACACAAAGGGGTCAGGAATGGAATGAGGTGCAGCTCAGTGTCCCTGTCACTCCAGTAGCCACAACTCTGAACTATCTTACCAGTTTTATTAACTACAGTCTGATGGAGCAATCCAATACAGCAGACAGAGAGTGGTGTGTCCTGAACCTCTGATTATTTTAAATTAGTGGAATTATATTTGATTGTATTGATTATTGCAATGAAAGGTTCTAATGAAAGTTTCTAAAGTTCAAAAAGTCCTTTCTGATAATCAGAGGTGTTCTTTATGAAGCCTGGTGCTGCCAAATAGTTGATCCCGGGCTTTAACACCACAGCTGATAAAGAACTTTTTTTTACTGCCAAGAAGCTTTCTCTCCCATTACCTGCGATTGCTTTTCTTTAAACCCTGTTCACCTGATTGGGTGGATAGTCTCACTGTTTTAAATTGGTCACATTAAGGTCATTATTGGCGCAGATATCAATCTGGAGAACTGGATCCATGCAAGTTCTTTTATCAGTAGTGGAGCCTGACCAATATGGGTTTTAGGTACCGATGTGATACTGATTTTAGAGGGAAGATTCACAGATTACCGATATGGTGATTTATATTGTGAATATTTGAGCTGGAATAAATAAAATAGACTTAAATGTTGTACCGATATGACTCTTCAAAGGTAAAGCTGCTTTTTTAAACAAATAACCTTAGAAAATGATATTCAAGAAGTTAAATCTCTAGTAAATAGTCTAGATGGATTTCCTGATAACATTAATAAAATTGTGGAGAACCTCCTCACACTACAAATAAAGAAGACCACAATACTTCATTTCGACAAGCGGCTTCTTGCGGTTCTAAAATTAAAAAAAAGAAGTGGAAGAAATGGTGTAACTTTTTTTTTTTTTTTTTTTTTTACCGCAAAACCTCTGAGGGTGGAGGTTTGGGTGGATATTTATGCTCACAATGTGTGACTTTTGACACCTGAGACTGCACTTCGAGCAACTTCTCCTGCCAGCAGTCAGTGACAGCTTCCTTTAACCATTCGTCACACCTTAACCAGAACTTCAGCATAAATGCATCATTTTAGAAGCTTTTAGGTCTGAGGACTTATTGATAATGTACTTATGTAAGTTAATGATTTCGTGTCTTCACGTCATACGGAGAAGCTTTATCATTTAGGCTGTGACGCAGTCATTTAACTCAGAAAATAGAATATCTAAATACACACTTTAGATTTTACAGTATAACGTGGTATCCACATATTTTCAGATATCTCAGATATTTAATCAAAGTGTACAATAATATAACTCCCAGTTATATAAAATGGAATTCTCCATTCTTCCTTGCAGTCTAATTCAGCACCAGTAATATTCAATACTCTTCCTGTTTGATGCTCGACACATCTTCAGGTCAGCAGTTTTGGGTCTCAAAGTTCAATTTAGTTGAACTGCCAGTAAAATAATAGGTGAGAATTTAAGCCATCTTGTGCCTCTATGACTCTATCAGAGTTATTTAGAAGAGTTTTCTGAACATGCAGCCTTTCATCTGCGCTTTGCCAGGCTAGTCAGGGGAATAATTTTTTTTAAGTACCTAGTGGTTTGTCCAACCATGTTCTGTGTAGTTTATAGAAAGTGAAGCATGACAAGTTCACTTAAATGATAGGCTACATACTTAAGGCAGATACAAGGAACTTTCATTTTGTGTTGATTCCAAACCTAAGTAACTACGAATTACACACACAGTTGCAAAATATCTTATTGAAGGATTGAAATAACAATAATTCTTTTTTGTTTAGTATAAAAGTTCATTTTTGACCTTATAAATATTAATTTGATTAAAAAAATCACGATGGAAAGTAAAAATCTCCAGAAAAAGATATTAAGAAGCCCATTATAGTCGAGACTAATTGATCTTATTAGTTCTTAAATTGGTCATTTATGGTGTGCAGCATGTAAAACACACAGATGCTCAGATACTAAAATGACATAAGAGCTGAATTGGTTTGAATAAGGAAGTAAAGCTACTGTACAATAGGCCCGTGAATGTAGTCAACTTCTATGAAGAGTACACCGTGATCAGGGAGGAACACAGGCTGCATGATACACATGCAAATGTGAAGCTGCCACCAACACGGTCTGAATACTGTACAGAGAAAGACAGGTTGGCTGGAACTGTGTGCGTCAGTCCTAAAGATAATTTTCATTTTGTTGAAAACCTATTTTCAGGGATTGTTGATAAAAGTTGCTAATTGTAAGACAAAGAATCAAGTGTTGTTCTCACTAAAAATTTCATTGAGCCTAAAGCTACGATCTGAAATGATTTCACCCAAAGTTAAGAGACGCGTCAGTCTGGACTTTCTCGTTTAGTGGCAAAACTTCAGCATCTTGTAATTTAATGAAATCAAAGATTAGAGGCCTGATTGTCTCCTTTGTAGGTTTTGGACACTTGTAATCTGCCCTCCAGTATATTGTTTAACTATGGTCTGTCTGTTTCTGATGACTTTTAATCCCTGTATGTTCTGATTGTTGGAAATGTGTCAAGGAATTGTCACGGGGGGAAAAAAAACACATTTGAAACTTAAAAAAATAAAACAAATGCACGTTACATTACAGACTTAAATACTGAAATAATTTATCCAATGTGGCCACAAGAGAGTAAGAGAGAGGGAGAGGCATTTTGAGATATGATCTAGTGGTCAAATGTTGTTGATGTTGATGCTGACCAACACAACAGTTCAAAAGGACAAAACTTGTTGTGATTTCTATTCTTATTCTCACTTTCTTTATAGATTTTTCACTTCACTTCATTAAAATTCACTTAATCTTTTCTCCCCTCGCAGCCTTTACGTGTCCTCTGTCCTCGCAGCTCTCATTTTAACATACTTTACTCGTTCAGAGGGTCCGTCACACCTTCCGTTGATGGGGCACACCATCATCCGGTGCTTATTTTGTGCTCCTGTCAGGTCATGGAAACAAAAGTCAGAGAGGATGTCGTCAGAATGCGTCAAATGTTAGATTTAGTTTCTAGCAGTCAGATTAAAAGCAATGTAAATTCCAAAAACAGCATAAAGGAAGTTACAGTATAAAAAAAGTGAAACAGTATGCTTCCCTGAAAGGAAAATTTTTACATATTGACATTTTCCGATCTCTTCTTTTTAAACAGTCAACAGCGTGAAACACAGTTCTCCTTTAAAAGTGTTGTAGTTTCTGTATCTCATATGCAGACTCTACCGCTTGTTCCAAGCCTGCTCAAACCTGTTGGGGTTGATCAGTCTCACCCAGCTCCAGCTGATCTGTCAGATACAACAGTACGGTACATCTCTCTTCTATACAGCCCCACACAGCTTGAAAGTCCAGTTCGTGCACACATAAGCCCCCCGCACACGCCCACACAGGTGTTTTTCACCTGCAGTATTCAGGATAATTAGACTAGCTGTAATTAGGTGGAGCTGATGATGCAATATGTGATAGGAATATCTGAAGAGGTATAATTAGGCAAAATAATTGAAAACACCTATGCAGATGGACGAAGGGTGTGTATGGACCACACAATTATTTATATTATTTGATTTACTGGTTTAATTGTTTAACTCTTTAATCGCATATTCAATATTATTCCATATTTTTCTATCTATTCCCTGCTGGATCCGTTGTCCCTATGGGGGCAATTAAAGTTTGATATATATGTGTTTCTTATCAAATGTATATTTAACTCTAAATTAAACAGAACTGGTACATTAACATCTTAATGCATAATTAGATTTTCAGTTCTGACTCCTTTAATGATTCTGTCCTTTTAAAACACAGCTTTTCTTAAAATAATCATCCATTCAGTGGTTAATATACGGCACATGTATTTCTTGTATTGAGCATGGGATATTTCTGGACATCAAGTCTGAGAATCAGTCTGAAACAGGATAAAAAATTGGGGCTAACTCTTTTACGTGGTTGTTGGTGCGCAGTCTAGAGAGCGTGCGTGCTAAGTCACAGCTAGACACTCACCCATTAATGACCCAGGAAAAGTACAACACTTTGCATGAGTTTTAGTATCAAGCAATTCT